TATATATATATATATATATATATATATATATATATATAAACTTACAGACTTCAAATTTTTGAGCAGTATAATATAATTTAATATAAAATATACACACCTTTTACTAAAGTGTATTTTTATGTTTATTTTAATCTTTTTATTTTATTTTATTTTATTTTATTTTATTATTGTCAGTTTTGTCACCTAATAAATTACTGAAAGTATTGCATTATTATTTAAGTGCACTTTTTTAATTTGACCTCAATATAGGTCAAATTTATGAAGAAATACAGAAAACATTTTAGCTCCTCTGTATCTAAATAGGGACTTCCCATTTATTTTTACAGCTCTTTAATTCCTATAATTTAGCCCTAAAATACAACTTTTGTCCATTTTAAAATAAATACCCTTATGAAGCATTTTTTTTTTCTTTTGAGGACATCCCCAAAAGCAAGTTGTTTTCAGATATAGCTGTCTTCAGGGAACATTTCTCCAAAACATTAGCACAGACACTGTTACATGCACGCACCTCTGCAGTCGCTGTAGTCGGTGTGTGTCGGCGGGTAGTGTTTGCAGAGTCTGTCTAGTATCTGTCTGTAGTGCAGCAGGCGATGGAGGGGACTCAGCAGAAAGACGTTCAGAGGAATGTAACACACCTTCTGCAGCTCAAACTCACGGCACACACACTCCAGCCTGCGGGACGCGACACACGCTCTCTCCAGCGCAAACACACACTCGGAGATCATCTGCAGCTGAGCTGAGAGAGCCTGGAGAATCACAAACACACAGTACTGTCAATAACATGACCGATAACAAACCATCTACCACACACACACACACACAGAATCACCTTCAGCTCCTGTGCGCTCCTCAGCAGCAGGTCTCCTATACGCTGCATTTCTCCTTTAACCTCCGTATTGCATCGGCCTTCACTAAAACACATTACAAATACATTCAAAATATTGTTTTGAGTTCCCCAGAAGCAAGAAAGTCAGGTTTGGAATGACATGAGGGTGAGTAAATGATGACAGAATTATTATTTGTGGGTGATAAACTACACTTCTAACACTTTAACCATTAGTTACTGAGTAATGGTGTGGTTTGACAAGCAGGTGGCGATCATATATAGACTCCAGACTAATGATGTTTTCTGAGTAGAGCTGAAAGGCTGCGAACCAAATTGCATAATTACATTATTCACTAAAGCAGTTTCTCAGATCTGGTCCTCAAAGTCCTGCGGAGTTTAGCTCTAAACAAGATCAAACACTCATCTGCTTGTAACTGTCTAGCACGCATGAAGAGCTTGATTGCTAGCTTGTTGAGCTCTGTTTGATTAGAGTTGGTGTTAGACTCTACAGGACCGTGGACAGTAAACATCTGAGGTGAAAAGGAGACCATAGCACATATCATTTTTGGGAACACTTTATTTTACAGTGTCCTTGTTACACCTTACATGTACTTACTATAGTAATAACAGTAAATTATGCATAATTACAAGCAACTAACCCCAAACCAAACTCTAATCGCAAGTACATGTTGTTAATTAAGGACGCCATAATATAAATTATAACCTAATTTTGTTTTCCCATTTGTTCCAACAGCTAAAACTAAAACCATAAAACATCTCAATTACCTGAAACAAAATAAATGTTAACATAAATAAAAAAAAAACAATCTTAAACTTATTTTATTTCAGCTAGTTGACAAGGCAACATTTCTCATTTTTGTTTAGTTTAAGCACTAAAATAAACTAAAACTACAATTAATGAATACTATATAAACATATATATAATAAAAAAAACAATTAATGGAAATTACAAAACACACAACAAAATTACAAAAACGTTCAAATTAAAGTGAAAGCCAAAATTATCAAAATAAAATCTAATTCAAACTATTAAATTAAATATATAATAGCATATCAATAATGCTAAAATAATACTGATCTTAACAAAAATTATTCTCATTATTTTATTTTTTTTTATTATCTAGGATAATAAAACAAAAAGTGTTATAATGTACATTAAATAAATAAATAATACAAATATAAATATATAAAAAAAGATTTACAGTGTTTACAATGTGTGTTTAAATGTGCCATCAGTCTGTCAAAAGGGTCCCTACCATAGATCTAGATTCATTTATTACTGTTCATAAATCTGTTTTTTCTTCCTCTGTGAAATCGAATGGTCAAAAACTGGACTTAGTTGGCCAAAAGGGCAATAATAGCCACAAAAAAAAAAATTTACAGATAAACTTCCACCAGAAAAAACGTAAACCATCCAGGAATCTTAATCTTACTATTTTCACCATATTACGATCTGGGACACTTTTCTAATTTCATAAACTATTTACAACAGATATTATGCAGATTGAGGTGCAGGATAAGACTCAGCCTTCGTACTCATGACCCTTGACTACAAATATAGTTTATCCTAAAAACACACACTCATGTGAACAACACTAACACACAAGCTTCAGTCTCTCAAATGCTCGAATGACCCTAATGATGATGATTATACTGAAAACTGTCAATACCACTGCTGAAACCATCACTCAAACTCAGCTTACTGTCGAGACTGTAGACTGAAACCTGATCGATCTGTGTGTGTGTGTGTGTGTGTGTGTGTGTGTGTGTTACTCACCACAGGGACAGTCTCTCCTCGAGCTCCTGGAGGAAGTGTGTGTGGTGGGAATGTAGCGGCTCATAGGTGGAACTCAACAGTGTCTTCAGAGCGTCAGGAACACAATCCTCTTTATCCCACACACACACACACACATATATCAATAATAAATACAAAACCTATACCTGCTTGTAAATTAATAATTTTGTAGCTTATAGCTCTGTGGTTTCTATGTGCATTGATTAACTATTCCTATAATGAAAATTTGAATAAGTGTGCAGTTTGAGTGTAGTTCATGATATAGTATGTGTATATACACCACTTTTCAAAAGTTTGTGGTCAGTAAAATTTATTAAAAAAAAAATAAAGAAATACTTTTAATGCCAGGATGCATTAAACTGATCAAAAGTGACAGTAGAGACATATCAAAAAATGTCAATTTCAAATAAATGCTGTTCTTTCTGTAACATGACATATATGTTATGTTATGAAATACTATAATATGAAGCAGCATAACTGTTTTCAACACTGATAATAACAATAAATGTTTCTTGAGCAGCAAATCATCATATTTTTCTCAAGGATCATGTGACACAGAAGACTGGAGTAATTCAACATTACAATTACATATTAAAATAGAAAGAAATATATTTTAAAGTGTAAAAATACTTCACAATATTACTGTTTTTACTGTATTTTTGATCAAATAAATGCAATCTTGGTGAGCATAAGAGACTTCTTTTAAAAACTCTTACCGACAACAAACTTTTAAAAAAGTACCATACTGAGTGTGCAGTCTATAATTCTGGACACAATATTAACTTACACAATTCTAATAAAACTAACTGATAATATTAATTAAATATATAATACATTAGCCTAACATGAGATTAGAGACATTCTCTAAATGTTGTACTCATCACTGGACTGAGTGTGTGGTTCATGTTAGGTGTGTAGCTGATAAAGTAAGCAGAACCCATGTGCTGATACACTGCTGCGTTAAACTGTGTCAGAGTCCTACAAAAGCCACAGGTCTGTAAACATAGCCCCATTTCTGTACTCTCTCTCTCACACACACACATCTCTAAACCTGATCCAAAGCACTGTGTGTTTTGTGGGCTGAAACAGGAAACATGAGCTCTATAGTTGAATAGAAACCCGCCCACTGTGGCTAGACAGGAATGTGTGTGTGTGTGTGTGTGTGTGGAGATCTGATGAAGAGTCTGTCCATCATTATACCACTGTGATCAGCTCCAGGTCCTTCAGGTATGTCCTCTCAGTACACAGCAGCTCTTTAGCAATGCAGTATGCATTATCAGCGGGACAGTTCTGCACAAACACACACAATACAATACAATTCATCAGCACAATATGACACTTCATAAAAACTGACATTAACTCTTTCCCTGCCAAACATGGAATTTTCCGCATTCTCGCTGTTATACGCTAGGGGGCGCTATTACGTATCTCCTGAATGAGTAAAGTGCAGATCAAAAACACAGACCAGGAAGACGCAGAAACGAGCAATCTCACATGAAAGCATATGCATATGAAAAACAATGCCATCATCAACACTAACCGCATATAAATGAAAACTGCCTAATGTTACAGAGTGAAATGTCAATCCAGAAAGTGGTAAAGGCCTGTGCAAGCTTTGGGAGTACTGATGGAAGCCATCTACTGCATCTTTGCTTTGATAACATTACTGAATATGATCCAGATGTATTTGATAAAAATGCAATTTTTGCTCAAAATGTTGCTTTTTTATGAAACCGACCTATATTCAAGTGTTGATAAAAAAAAACAATGCTTGAAGCTAGAATAAAACAGTTTTTTTTTAAAGTAAAGGGTCTGATCTTTATTTTGAAGTATTGCATGTTCAGATATTCATACAACAAAATATTCTGGGGGCAATGAAGTTTTAGTGAAAATTAGCAAAAACGTTGGCGGTGGCTGGTAACTTTTTTCAAAAACACTGGCGGGGAAAGAGTTAAACGCGTATACTACAGTTGAGTAATAGAGATGGTTTATTATGCATATAAACACAATAAAGCCACACTGACATTTATTTTAAATGTAATTTAAATGCATGTATGCTAATGTAATTTTAATATACTTTAAATTGTAATTTATTCCTTTGTTGCAAAGCTGTCTTTTCAGCATCATTACTCCAGTCTTCAGTGTCACATGATCCTTCAGAAATCATTCTAATATGCTAAATTCTAAAATTCTGATTCTCAACATTGGGCTGCTATGGTGTCATGCAACAATTCCTAATGCTTTTGAGAACTATTGACTGTACAGTCAAAACCTTTCGTCCACAGATCTCACCTTCCTCCTGTTGTCCTCCTCGTCATCAGTGCGTATGGCACCAGTGTCATTCAGCATGGGTGAGATGAGAGGAGACGGCGTCGCTCCTCTACAGTCATCAGCGTGACCGTTAACTAAAGCACACGTCACCTCTGAGAATGACAGACAGGCACAGATGAAGATCATGAGCACAGATCTGAGGCAGATTCCCTTTATACTTATCATTTTGATATGTGATGTGTGCATTTAGACTTCACTTTCACTTATTTTAGCATGCAAAAATGCAACAATACCCAAAAAAAGTACTAAAATACCATGGTACTGCCATGTTTCTTTTGAAAATTAACCATGGGAGTAGCATGCTATTTTTGGAAGTACCATGTGAATACCATAGTACAGTGATCATACTGTACAACACCGAGATTTTGATAAAAGTTGCTGTACCATGGTATTGCCATTGTACTTTTGGTACGGCAGTAACAGTTCTTGTGTCTAAATGGGTAAAATAAATAAATAAACAAAGACATAAATAATTGATCAATACTAAGTATGCACGTCTATGTTCATTGTTCCTCTAGTATAGTGCACTTCCCACAAATCTCTACTCCTACAGGAGGTTATTCTCAGTACTTGCCCAAATCCACCTCGTGTGTTTTCTTTGAGTAGTGCAGTCATGATAAATAAAGCAGGTGTGAGTGCAGCCCGACACAGACAACAACACAAAGCAGTCTTAATGACATACAGTATACACTAGCAGTCAAAGCTGTGAACACGTTTCTCACGATCCTAAAAGCTTTTAAACTAAACGTTTGAAATAGACAAGTTGGGCCCCTGTGTGAAAAAGGAAGTACACTTCAGCATACTTTTAAAAAGAGTACTACTTAGTATGGAAATAATATACTTAAGTGCGAACTCACTGCAATGTTTTCAGAAACATTTAATTTAACTACGATTAAATGAAAATGTATCGTAGTTTAAATTGATATAATACAAGTAGATAAACTTCACATTTTTTTCACTTAAGTACATCTTTATATGTAATTTCATAATTACTTCTGTTCTATTGTCTTTGAAATATGGTTAAAGTGAGTGTACCGACAAGCATTTATAGTCAACTTAAATATACTTATGTTATTTCTATTTCTAACTTGTATGTCATGTAATTAAAAATATTTGTAATTACACATTTGTAATGATAAAGTTGCAATTCAGTACATTTAAAAGATATTAACTTTAAATGTAATCTCAACAACACAGTTACAATTATAATCAAGTGCTTCACATGTGCTTTAGTATTTTAGTCAACACATCAAAGTAAGTGTACTTCATTAAAGCACAACAAAAATTATTAAAACATAATGATTTAAAATGTAAACTTTACTTTTCATTTAATTTGACATTCTGTACTTTTAAAAAGTGTACTTAAGTGTGTTAAGAGGCAAAGTTAAGAAAGTTTGCTCTCTTTAAGTACACTTAAGAGCCATCTTACTTTATTAATATTACATTATCTATCTGCAAGTACAGTTTTTTTTTTTTTTTTCAAAATATACTTTCAGATTTTAAGTACACTTAGTGCACATTCAATACAATTAACTGCAGAAAGTGAAAGAAAAGCATCAACAAGTCGCCGGAAGTTTATACAGTTTAAAGTTAGTTGAGCGATAAGAAGCTCAAACTTGAAAAAGTGGAAAACTGTAATAATAAGGAACGTGTCCAATCTTGTAAATGGCAGTGTATTTATAGCACAAACTACTCCATGTACACAACAACATATACAAACAATATAAACAAGTCACACTACGCCATACAGACATTCATACAATGTGAACTAATGCATGTATACTGCACTTTATATACATACATGTGTGGACAGATAGCGAGACATGCGCTGTGCAGCCATAGACAGCGGGGAGGGGGTGGGGGGTGAGTGAGAGGGAAGGAGGGTTGGATCATGAAAAAAAATATGAGCATTATAAGCTTTAAAAAACAATTCCTGAGTCTTCAAAGGCCAACTGTAACTTTATTGACACTAGTGCACAAAATACATTGTTAAAAAGTCTATGTGGTTTATAAAGAGCAGCAGAACCAAAAGTCATTGAGAAGGAACAGGCAGGAAACATCAGAACAGATTAAGCTTGAACAGTGCTGAATGAGAGAGACAGAGGAAGAGAGGGAACGACTATGTTCAGAATAGCAACTACCATACTACCGTACTTGCTGTGCAGTCTATGTAGTGTGGTTACATGCAGTATGTACTGTGCGTGATATAAATTCCCAGTGTGATAAAAGAACTAGACGTACTGATTGTTTGATCAGACTAAGACAATAAACAATAAAATGTTTCATTTTCATTTTCTAAATGTAGGCCACTTAAACGTGCATTGTTGTTAGGGTAAGTTTCAACAGTATAGCTTACTGTTATTTGAAATGTTTGTTGCATAGTTCATTCTTCAAATACTTATTTTTTTAAAACGTGCGTGAAGTATACAGTGTGTAGTGTGCAGCAAACAGTACGCTAGTATTCCATTCTGAACACAGCCAAGGTGTGAGAAAGATCATCAGCATGTCATTCACACAAATGAACAGCAGGTGACGTTATTTTTTTTTTAGGCCGTCAAGTTGATTTCTAAACAATCCTGGTGTGTAATTTGATCATTGTGTGAACAAACAAAAGAAGATCAGTCATGTCACAGACATTCATAAGGATATTAAAATTTTCATGTCTGAACATTTCCCAGAATGCACTGCCTTTCAGCTTTCATTGAAATAGAACAGAACAGCCATATGAAGGGAGAGCATGCAGCCCAGCATTTTAAAAACACCATTAGTTACAAATTCATTCATTCCATTTTAAATGCCAGCAAAAAACATAACAAGCATTTATTGATCATAAATGACAACAATGACAAGCTCAAGCGGTTTCAGAAGAAAAAAAAACGGGGCAGAAAAGAAAAGGTACAAAACAATAGTGAATATCAGCCAATAGTGCAGTGACATCAAAGCTGAGTGAGAAATCAGGCAGGGATTAGAAACACACGTGCTACATGGCATTATCACATTTCCATAGATTTTTTTTCTGGGAAAATACTACAACAGGTATGCAATTTTTATTAAAATATCAAAAACCCTATTTGAAATGCTCTTTCCAATCCCTGCTGAAGGATAACAGGTAAACCCATGTGCAAGGTAAGGTAGAGGTGCTCAGAGAGGGAGAGAGAGTGAAACACAGTGAGATGCAGACACATGCTGTGACACTTTCTCTCTATAGACTGAACCATCATATAGCTTAAAGGGACAGTTCTGTCATTACCTACTCACCCCCGTGTCATTCCAAACCCACGGAGACCATGTTGTGTTCCATGGAGGGACGAAAATGTCATACAGATTTGAAATGACATGAAGGTGAGTATACAATGACAGCATCTTCATTTCATAAACTGAAATCTCTTACTGACAAATACATTCATCACAATTCTGACACAATAGGACAAAACCCCTTATATTCAATATGCTTACATTCAAATCTAGCTAATAAAAAAATCATGCAGGATTTTAAGATACCGTTAAAAATGTCCAGTCTCTGAATCTGCTAATTTCTCATAGTAAACAGAGGCTCAGCCAGAAGGAGAAAAAAAGCCACACAATGAAGACCATGATATGAAGATCTTTAGCCAAAGCTCAGGATGAGTGAATCTTTAAAAATCACACTGTTCTTTAAATGATTCTATGAAGAAGCAGCTGTGAGCGCCAGCACAAATGTACAAATGGCAAACTGATGATTAAGAATATTAATGAAGATGAAGTTCTGAAGATCCTGCAGAATTTAGCCCCAACCCCAATCAAATATATGTAATCCAGCTAAACACAATCCCAGCCGAGGAATAAGGGTCTTATGTAGCAAAACGATCGGTTGGATTTTATAAAAAA